CCAAGAGGGCCCCATATGTGTTTCCCCATTCAGAACCCATATAGAGGTTGCCTATGTGGGTACTACCTTGGGCCAGATGACTAAATGACACTGTGATATATGGGAATGATTGTGTTTGCACATGTTTTACCCATATGGTTTGACCAAGAGGGCCCCATATGTGTTTCCCCATTCAGAACCCATATAGAGGTTGCCTATGTGGGTACTATCTTGGGCCAGTGTTGGCAGCCTATATGGGACTGATTGTGTTTGCCCATGTCGAGCCAGTATGGTTTGGCCAAGAGGGCCCCATATGTGTTTCCCCATTCAGAATGCATATAGAGGTTGCCTATGTGGGTACTACCTTGGGCCAGTGTAGGCAGCCTATATGGGAATGATTGTGTTTGCCCATGTTTTACCCATATGTCCAAAAACAGAAAGAGAACAACCCATACCCTACTCTTTTCCTCGGTTATGAGAAGCCTCCAGAAAAGAGACACCGACTCCTCAGGAGGGATGACAGTTCATTCTCAACTGGTAACTTTACTCACTAACGTAAGCGTTACACAAATTTCAGCGTTTGACTGGAAAACATGATTAATAGAAAAGGGTTGTTTATACTGGCTGGCTATCTAGCTAGCTTATCACAAATGTGCATGATTTCCTTGCTCATTTCTGCAGTACTCGTTCTTTTCATACTGTATTGTAACGTGACTACCAAATTAGTTTTATCTATCAGTTACAGGTATTCATTTAAATTACACGCATTATGCATTTGTAGCATGCATTTTTTTCTGTTTTATCTATATTAATTTGCAAATTTAATATAGTGTGCCATCCTAACACCACACACACAATACATTACTCAAATGTATCTTATGGTAAAATATATTACACATAAATGACTAATTCCTGTGATAATTTGCGTAGCTATTAGTCATTTATGTGCAATATATATATTAGAAAGACAAAGCCAGAAATTTATTTTAAGGTTATAAATAATTTTTCCTAAAATACATTTCTGACTTTTTCTTATTTTGTTAAACAACCACAGCAACAACTCTTATTGAATTCTCAGTGTGCAATTGTTCTGTTACCTGTAGGTGAGCTTGATACCATGGCTGTGGAACAAAATCCTACTTCCCTCTGTGATGCCCAAACGCAGTGGTCCGATCCATGGATGGAGGACCACACTTATTCGAAAGGACCCACCATCCCATGTGGCTTAACACTCGCACCACCCCCTGAGTTACAGCCAGCTGCAAGTTATACATTGACAAACAATGCAGACTGCTTGTTGTACTAGGGTTGGACAATAAATCAATATCAATATGTATCGCGATATAATTCTTTTCAATAACGGTGATATGATTTTTAAACACATTTCCGATATTTCGATATACATTACCAGTTTCCAATACATTGATGTATTTGTGGCATTTGACTTCGTTGAATAAACATGAGCACTGCACGTTTCAAAATCAAAACGTGGCGCGGGTATTTTATATGAATGTATCTCTGAAGGGAACCGACTGTCTTCAGAAAAGTTTCGATGACATTTTCATTTTATCTGATAAAGTGGCATTCATGAGCGGAGCTGCTTTGATTACAGCCGTTACCGGAGAAACCGTTAGTTCTACCGCTCTCAATGCACCTCCTGCTGGCAGACAATCAGTTTTTCAATTTTCAATAAGCCCGTCTCCAGCAACATGTTTTTGTTGTTGCTATTTTTTTCTGCAACAACTCAGAGCACTTTTCATATTCTTTATCCTGGCTGAAGCACATTTGTTTCAATCTATAACAATAATCAGCCACCCTACATTACCAGTCAAAAGTTTTTGAACAGTAAGATTTTTAATGTTTTTTTTTTTTTTTAAGAATTCTCTTCTGCTCACCAAGTCTGCATTTATTTGATCCAAAGTACAGCAAAAACAGTAAAATTTAGAAATATTTTCTATTTGAATATATTTTAAAATGTAATTTATTCAGTAAATCAGCATATTAGAATGATTTCTGAAGGATCATGTGACTGGAGTAATGATGCTAAAAATATAGCTTTGAAATCACAGGAATAAATTGCATTTTAAAATAATTCCAAATAGAAAAGCGTTATTTTAAATAGTAAAATTATTTCAAAATGTTACTGTTTTTGCTGTATTTTGGATCTAATACATGCAGGCTTGGTGAGCAGAAGATAATTCTTTAAAAACAATAAAAATCTTACTGTTCAAAAACTTTTGACTGGTATGTTAGAAGATATTAATAATTAATAAGGTGAGTCTGAGATGTTTATTTGACAGTGATTTCACATTTCTGGTTTGTATGAAGGCTAAATACAAATAAAAGGTGAACATTAATTTATTTGTGCTGTTTTTTTTTCTAAAGTATTATATGGTTTTATATGAGGTGTCATAGACTTGGCAAATTCATTTTTCATAAGTTTGTATGCACAGACATCTGTTGTGGGCGTTCTTGGCAGTTTTTACAAGGCTTTTTAAAATAGTGTTCATATCGATATCGGAATTATATCGTATCGACCGAAATTAAGAAATCATTCAAGTTGTTTATTTTGTTTAAAAATATTATAAATGTATGAGGTGGCAAGAGGGGCCTTTTACCCCACACACAGGGTAAAAGGCTCACCAGCATGGGGTAAAAGGCACACGGTATTGATACAAATACTTCAGCTAAAATAATGTTTTTAAAAAAAAAATAATATCCAAGTTAATGCTTGTTAAAAACAATCACTTTAGCAAAGTTTGTACTATTTCCTGCTTATTTTGAAAAATAAAATAATTTTTGTTCAATAAATATACTGTCATTAAAATATGTTAATATAAAAAAATATATTTTAAAATACAGAAACTAAATATTTTAATAAGTAAAGATTCTGAAAGTATTGAAGGAGATCCAATAATAATTGAATATATATTTACAGAAGTAACAACAAATGATATTTTATTTTATTATATGATATGATTAATATCATGTTTTTAAATAATGGTTTTATTCTAAAAATTGTGATTATCTCTAAAATGGACACCCAGCATAATATATGATATTAACCATCTGAATCTAACCATGTCATGTCAACAAATGGAAAAGACAGCATCTATTAATTATCATGTTAATTACTGTGCCTTGTTAATTACTGTGCCTTTAGCCCCAACAGCAGGGGCACTTTTTACAGTAGCCCCTCACTGCAGAACAAAGATCCAGGGGGTGGGGTTGGATCCACATCTAGGGGGAGGAGATGGTAGGTTTAAGGGTGGAGATGGTTGGGTTTAGGGATCAGGGGGTGGAGACGAGTAGGTTTAGGTATATGTAAGGTGGGAGGAGTTGGATCTGCATCCAACCTCGCCCCCTGGATCTTGTGTTCTGCAGTGAGGACCATCTCGCTTTTTACCCCAAATACCATACTTTTACATATTCTTCAGTTATTTAAAAACTGTTGCTTTAATTATCTTAAACAAAACTGAAAATCATAAAGAAGACTGTTGTCTCAAAATATATGCATTAATTTGAGCGATTCTCATTTGCTACTTAAATCTACAACATTTTAAAAAACATAAATTATTAGATTAAGTAAGCCTATGCACAGAATCAACTTTGCACTGCTGCGCGTGATCACGTCCAGGATCAGACAAAAATACACGTGCATCTTGAAAATCGGATGTTTTGGAAAGTGCTATGCCACGTTTTTGTGCTATCTAGTGGTTTAGATGAAAATAATATCAAAGGCACCTTTAGCCCCGTTGTACTCTCCTATCTGAAGTACATTTTAATACGCTTAAGAATAGGCCTACATCTTTTTTTCACGTGAGTACCGGTATATATTATCAAAATCTAAATTTTTTAAAAATATTGAGATATTAATTTTGCCCATGCCCTAACACTAGGTGGTGCTATGTAATATTTATGTGGACAGATACATTTATTATATAGCACCACCTAGTGTCGGGCAGATGTGTGTCTGTGCAACAGTGCAAGTTCTACCAAATTTGTGGTTTCCACCATTTACATTCTCTGATGCCCATAATATAATAACAATGGGTTTCAGCACATGCTTGAACCCATGCTTGGTTACAGATTTAGGGAGATTTCCAGCACACAGCCTCCATGTAGTTCAAAATTATCACCACCAGGTGTCCGACTAGAACCATATTTTCAATAAATTTGAGACCCAAATAAAAAGTCCAGGTTAAAGCAAAGCAGTTTACTATCATGGCATTATTGACTGGGTTTCTGACTGAGCTACGTTTTAGGGTATTTCTTTACAGGAAAGTCAGTCACAAACAAATTCAAATATGTTTAACAATGATTTGAACATTTCTCCAGATTATATTATATAAACAAAAAAAAACAGAAAGAAAAAAACCGCAACAATAAAACATCTGGGGAATTAAATAGACGAACATACAAGATTATATACGTACTACTGTAAAAAAAACTTGTATTTACGGTTCAAAATATATTGCCATGTTCAATTAAAAAAAAACGACAACGACACACACACTGTTTGAAATTGTTCATAATTAAGTTGAATTTACAAATAGTGTTTTCAAAGATTCAGATTCACCACATTCTCTCACCCCATGTGTATCTGAGAATATCTGTGTGCACTTGGGTGTAGTTTCTATGCAAGCGTGTACACTCCATTGAGGTGCGTGTGCAGCGGCAGCGACAGATGGCGGGCTCCTCTTCCCTCGGGAAGGCAATCTCTACGAATGCGAGCGCGTGTCAATCACCCGCTCTCATGTGATGGCTCCTGCCAGTGACGTGCCCACCATATGGCCTGGCATCAGAGCAGGTATGTAAGGCTGCCTGCAAGGGATGCCACACCGCCTCGCTGCAGTCCGGAAAAAAGATAACTCGTACCGGATCAAGAGACAATTGAGCTTCTCTTTTTCTTAATCTTCTTAGCATAGTAGGGAACTAGCGTGGAGATGGTGTAGACATACGCGCCCTCATCCATAGAGCACCACAAACTAGGTGAGTTTTTCGAACGCGATAGAATCATAACAAAATCTAATAATTATTTATAATAAGATATGTCAACTGATGCTGGTTCAATTTATTTGTTATGCGTTTATACAATTTAGATATTTATCATCGGTGTTTTCATCTTCGTTTTTTTTTTATTAGATCATTTTAGTCTATACCCTATCATACGTTAGAATTAAAGCAGACGTGTAATGTTACATATGAGAACGAAAATCTGAATCGACTCGTTCAGAACAGATGTTAGGCTATATCAAAACGGCTACACAGTTTATAGGCTAATTCTGTGTATTCAGACATATTTTACAAAACATTTATGAGATTGGTTAGCAGAGAGTGTTGTGTAAGAGAGAAAAACATTTAATTATTCAAAAACATTTAAACATTTAAAACGGGTAAATCTGTTTAGTAACCTCTTTGTTACATTTTCAGACTTTTGTTGAGATGATTTACATCGAGCTACTAATAATGCAAGTTTATTTTTTTGGGGGGGGGAATCAAAGAAATCTTTATGTATTTTTTTATTACATAAATATTATTATGTTTATACGTTCAGTAAAATTATCGAATTATCTTAGAAGTTTTTTTTTTTTTTTTTGCTTTATACTACGATTATATAACAATGTCCCCTCCTTTGAATGGAAAGTAGGGGACAGGAGGTAGAGCGACAATTGTTTTAGAACCGAGACATGGGTTGCATTCATCAAGAGCAGGGAATTGGCTATTGAAATGAGATCGTATTACAAATAAATATTAGATTGACTTTACCGTTACAGCTTTTCTTTTCTTTCGTTACGTTTTTCTTTTTATGTTTTCGCCGTTTTAAACGTTTTCGAAAAAGTGTTTTTTTTTCTAATGTGCTGGAATGCTGCCAGAATGAAGATAGAAATGAAAGGGTGATGGGGGGTACCCGCTGCTCAAAATGCCCCCCTGAGACCCAAAGACAGGGGCCGCGTGCGAGGACCTGCTGCGAGGGGCCAAACATGACTACAGAAATTGGGAATTGGGGAGTGAGACCGTCTGGCGACGTCTGTCTCTCTCCCTGAATTAAAATAACATTTTATATTAGTCTTCTCCCAAGATACTCCCAGCTTTCTGAAAATTATGGCCATAGTTATTTAGCCTACTCATATTTCCCATGCCAATTACATTTTTTGCTCTTCATTTTAAATAGTTTGTTTCATCAAAGGTAACAGTGAAAACTACATTTAAAACAATCCTTATTTACTTCCATAATGGCAGAGTGCATTACCTTTACATTTCGCCGAGGTCGTTATTATTATTTCAAACCACATTTGTGCGGTACACAATTTGAACGGCAGAGTTTAATAATTAAAACGTGTTTTAATGTTTCAGTGCCGCTACCATGTTGACTAGATTATTCAACGAACCTTCACTGCTTCCGGACATGCAGAAGTTCGGGGGCTGGGTGGATGACAGCGGGAGCGAGGACTCCAAAATCAAGGACGAGGAGCAGGAGCGCTGTCGCCTAGGCAACGAGGACTTGGACGAGGGCGATGTGAAAGACGGGAGCAGCCGTGCTCAGTCAGAAATTGCAGGGGATGAGGACGATGATGAGGATGTTGATGAAGATGATTGTGAGGATGACGGGGACGGAGACAGGCCCAAAAAACGTGGGCCAAAAAAACGCAAAATGACACCGGCTAGGTTAGAGCGCTCGAAAGTACGGCGCCAAAAAGCAAACGCCAGAGAGCGCACACGCATGCACGATCTAAATTCAGCACTGGACAATCTACGCAAGGTCGTACCATGCTATTCAAAAACTCAGAAACTCTCCAAAATTGAAACACTAAGGTTGGCGAAGAACTACATTTGGGCGCTGTCAGAAATCCTGCGGAATGGGAAGAGACCGGACGTGGTTTCGTATGTACAGACACTGTGCAAAGGCCTCTCCCAACCCACGACCAATCTAGTAGCTGGGTGCCTCCAACTTAACTCAAGGAATTTTCTAACGGAACAATGTCAAGAGGGAGCGCGCTTTCACTTACCTAACCCCTCGTTCTCCATGCACGCATTTCCATACCAGTGCTCCCGCCTATCAAGCACACACTGTCAGTCCGGGTCCAATGCACATAGCCTCCGAAATCACTCTTTCTGTTCGTCCTATGAGGCTCTGTACACCGAAGGCACGTCCCCAGAATACAACAGTCCAGATTACGAGAGTCACCACAGCCCTCCGATGTGTGTAAATGGTAACTTTGCTTTAAGACAACCGGAGTCACTGTCACCAGAAGCGGAAAGAGGTTATCAATATTCTATGCATTACACCAATCTGCATGGCTCACGGTCCTCGGCTGCTCATGGTCTTGCTTACGGCCCATCAGGAACTCGCAGCGGCAGCGCTCACTCAGAGAACCTTCCACCGTTTCATGATGTTCACGTGCACCACGATCGGGCGCCTCCATACGATGAACTCAACGCCCTTTTCCACAATTAGGTGATTTTTCCCTGTTAATGAGAAAGAGAAAAAAAACAGACGTGGAAAAGGAAAAGACATTTCCACATTCAAAACATGAATTAATTTAGTAATATATATATATATATATATATATAATGACATATATATATATATATATATATATATATATATATATATATTTTTTTTACATTATTGGACAATAATCATTTCAATAATTCCATAATGAACCTTAATGGACAAAATATAAAAGAAGTGAATAAATCCAACTGCTAAAAACATTGGGCAAAGTGGGATTGCTATTTCTGATCGATTCTAATGTTTTGAACCATAATGAGTATCTAATGTAATAAATCAAACTGTTAAATGAATTCTGTTTCTTGATCAAATAATTTAAAAAAAATTTTTTTTTTTACATTATTGGACAATAATCTTTTCAATAATTCCATAATGAACCTTAATGGACAAAATATAATAGAAGTGAATGAATCCAACTGCTAAAAACATTTTGCAAAGTGGGACTGCTATTTCTGATTGATTCTAATGTTTGAACCATAATGAGTATCTAATGTAATAACTCAAACTGTTAAATGAAGTCTGTTTCTTGATCAAATAAAGACGCATAATGTTCCAGAATCATCTGGGGGCTGTCATTTACCATTGGAAATTGGTCAGGCAGAAATTTTAAGAATATACCAACTAATTCAAGAACAAACAAACTTGTGAGTAAACCCAGTACAATTTCACAAATAATGAAAAACGAAAAAATTAATTTTATTTATGTTTTGATGAAAATTTCAAATAAGCTATTTTACATACCACCAGAAGTTAGTATAATGTATTTTTGAAGTCGACAGCTGCAAATTTCACTATCACAATCAGTCTAATTGTACAACAGTGCTGGGATAAGATAAAATGCAAAACGGTTGGAGGACCAATTAAAATGGAAGGCATCATTATGTGTAGATATAAATTAAAGATAAAATCTGCGCGCGCGCGCGCACACACACACACACACATATATATAGGTTATCACAAACTTCTGTAGATTTCTTCTCGTGTGAGAGTGTGTAGATATAGCTAATATATTAGCTCTGTCTACACACACTCACACGAGAAGAAATCTACAGAAGTTTGTGATAACATATACGGAGTTAAATTCTTTCGGGAAAAAAATGGAAATAGATAGACCTACTAATCATTATGTCGGATCATTTAAAATTATAGGGCAGCTTTCCTGCATTGGAAACGCCAAACAATTGCTACTAACACTGACAACTACCAACTCATTCGGGGGGGGGGGGGGGGGGGGGTTTTGGAGGGTTGTGGTGTTCCCCCTTGGTGGTTATGGGGTGTGGGGGGTGAGGGGCGTTATTGGTTGGTTTAAATTATTATATATGTATATGCATAAGAATAAAACTCTTCAATTTGTGTTCTGTATTTTCAGTCTCAGTGTTTTTCTTAAATATATATTTCACAGCAACTAAAATATTTTAAGGTTTCGCATATAGTAAAGCGTAAATTGCTTAAATATGATTGTTTACATATTTACATCCATTTGGTTAGCATAATTACAGGACTGCTAAGTCCTGTTTTCAGTTAATTCTAGTCTGCGAAACATTATTATTATTATTATTATAGTCAGAGCAAAATTCTTAATTCTATATTTAGGCAAGTTGGAGTACACCATGATCTCTTCACATTATGAATAAATTAACTAATTCGTGAAAGAATTTTACTTTGTGACAATTTGTACATTAATTATCCCACGGTTGGAATTTAGGTAGCATGAACATATTATTTCATTATCATTTTAGCAATCACGAATATACCAATCAATGCAATTTAAGTGCACAAATAAATAGTTTGAGTGGGGCAGCAAATGTTGCATTCGTTAAAGCACTATGTCATTGGTATTGTTACCATAGGACTACTTTAATCTAAGATGATTATCATTGCTCCTTGAAATAGTATTAAAATATATCGGAATAGTTAGGCCTATTTATAGTTTTACATAGGTATGTTATTAAATTGCATTTTAACGTTGGGATATTTATTTATGTTGCTATCAATCAGCAAATTCAGTTCTAAAAAAAATTAAGTTCTTTGTGTTGCATTAGATTTTTAAAAACAGTCCAGGTGTCATCTGTCAGCAGAGGGAAAGTAAAGCGCTTCTAGGTTCCTTGAAAAACTAGAGCAAAGTTTCTAAAGAAGTGTATGGATGGAAAAAAGTCACATATATATGACCACACAACAAAACCGTTTTTGACATTTTTTATTTTCATTTTAGTTTCCGCCCGAAATCAGGTAGAACTGTACATCACAGAAACCTTTGAGTTCAAAGCGCTTATTTCTCTTGTGATTAAGGCATTGATGTTTTGAGCCCAGAAGGTAAAAGCCAACAAGGAGACAAAAGGCGCTCCCTCCTTAAACTCGACCACAGCCGAGGTGATCTTAAGCGGCGTCCAGAGGCCACGGGCTGGCACGGAAGCCTGGGACTCAGGAGACATGCGCTTGCCAATTCGCTAAATGTCTTAGCGTCAGTGCGCAGGGCCAGCGGGGCAGCCCACCACAGCGATGCCAGCTGCGCCGTGTGCCAAGCCTGGCCAAAACTGCGCTGCTGGGTGGAGACGGTGTTTCTTTCTTAATTCAGCAGCATCTGTTCATTACTTCATATTTTACAGGGAAGAATGGTTCAACTATGCTAGCAACTGAAAGAGCAAAGCCTAACTATCGAGACTGCACCAGATAACAGTTGTAACAAACACGCAATCCTGTATATTAATTCATCTGATAAATTTTAAACTAATAATAATGTAGCGTAGCTAAACAAGATGTGGAGAGAAACAATATTCTACGGGGGAAAACTATTCTTAAAATAAAATGGAAAACGAAATTGCAACAATAACAAATGATCAGCCAATGTATTATAGGAAATGAACAGAAATATTTGAAATAGTTATTATAGGACAAAATGTAAAATATTAAGTGAAAAAAGATTTCACTTAACCTTTAGGTTTAAATAAAAGCAAAGATATCTATATACTTCTAGTATCAATAAAATTAAAATGATAACCTCATCAATTACAATAAGTATTACATTTTAAAATAACACAAATAACAACTTGCCACTCAAAACTGCTTCGACTGACTAAATCTCCCAAATTTTGATACACAGTATCATAGTGTAGAATACTGTGTAGAATACAGTAATCAGGTAACATTACTTAATGACTTAATAACATTAATTGCATTTGATTAACACAATTTAAGATAGAAAATAATTATTAAAGTGGTTTTCTAATCTGGGATATTAATATATTTGGATTTCAGGACACCCAGTATCCAATTTACCCTCATGATACTCAATGAATTGAAGCTTTCTCTGAGACAGATTTGGGGTACAGTGTGCAATGTACTTGGTGTACAACTTATGCAAAAACCTTTAACATTTATTTTTTAAGACTAACATTCAGACTCCACTTTTAAATCAAACGTGGGTGACGTGCAGTAACTGTGTTCATTGTACCAATTTTTGCATGCCAGCCACACCCCAGCAGTGCCTGTCATGGAGGCTGGCACAGATTGGCATAGCTTATAAAAATTCCACAGCATCTGTTCACTGTGGCAGGGTGGCACTGCAGAGAAAATGAGTGCAGAGAAGAAGATAAAAAGATGCAAGATCTTAAGAATTTTTTTAGCATACTTGGAATGTACATTCATGAAAATGAATTTAAATGCATTGATTCACATTAAAAATTTGTTTTTTTCCTATCTTATATTTTCTATTAGAATGTGAGTGGTCAGTGTTGCAACACAAATATAGGTAATAGAAAAGTATAAATGATTTCCCTTTTATAGTGCCATAGTGTGTTTTCCCTTGCATAATCGTGGGTTTACAGCACAGTGTTCAGTGTGTGTTTATATCTTGAGTACATATGAGTGCTTTGTGGTTGTTGCTTATCTGCACAGATGGCATGTTGTTGGGGGAGGGGGTGGGGGGGAGTAGTGGGGTATGGGTTTTCTGATGATGCCATGCAATGGTCACATGGGCATCGGTAATTGGGCGCCATATTGCCTGGTTTGCAGGGCTCTGGGGTAGCCAGTCACCCAGCTGGACCTGTCAGATGGCATTGAATCCAGCTCACTGCCCTCTACCCTCGCATTCTTTCCTCTCTGTCACTCCATCCTTCTCTCACTTTTACATTTTTAAACACGCTGTCACTTTTCTCCTCTTACATTCATTTGAGCCTTTGGTACTCCTGTTCTCATATTTTTCATCTTCTTAGCAATTAATGTCTTAAGACAAAGAACAAAGAAATGTTCTTGTGCAGAAACACTTCTCACTTAACTGTAATACAGAATCAATTTTGATAATATTTTTCATCAGCCAAGAATTCAGAAAATCAAATTTTTTCTTTAACAGTACGGTAAGACGGGGTAAAATGACCACCACCCTAAATTTGTATTAATTGTTTTTTATTATTATTACTGTTTTTATTTATTTATTTTTGATGCCACAAAATCTCATCGGAATACTGATGAATGGCTACTTTTTAATTTTTTTTATATATTTAGTTTATCATTTGATCTGAATATCAGCATTTGTGAGATTAATCTAATTTGGTGTCTCTGGAGAATAGTTATCTATGACATTGTTGAATATCAAAGTTTTTTTATCTATTTATTAATGAGGGATTTGTCAACATTTATGTTTTTAGATTTGTGGACTCAATTGTACTTTTTATTTTTAAGTAAAAAGCGAAAATTAGACCCTAGTAACAACAAAATTTTATTTGGAATAACAGATATTCCAGACTCCGTCCTTATTTGGTTTGGTTCCTGTTCCTGTCCCCATTTAGTTCGATTAGTTCCAGGTGTTTCTCATTATTAGTTACCCTTCTCAGCTGTCTGCCCCTTGTTATCTGCCCTATTTGAGTTTGAGCCCGTTCTGTTCTCCCTTGTCTGGAATTGTTCATGTCAACCTTTACTACGTGTTTTCCTGTTCCCTTGGATATTATTAAAGTCTACAAGTCTGAATTCGACTCTGCGTCTCCTCGTTCCTCACTCCGTGCTCCTCACAGTAGCAAACCGTGACAGTTATATAGTGTTATACAAATTGTGAATGCTTTTGTACATTCATGCAATTGATTATGTACAATTGCTGTTTCCTACATTATCAGTTGCTTATGTTGATCAAAACATATTATACTAGTTCTCTTACGGTATGTATGTAGATGTTCCTGCGTTTCTTTAGTGCAATATAGTTTGATTGTGTGTTGTGGTGTGATGTGATTATAAATTTGGCCCTGTATAAAAGTGTTTCAATTGAGGAACAGATGTTCATCTGATGAGAGTAACCACATTTGGTTTCTTTCCTCTAGCCAGTCACAAGATAGCCATTGTGAATGTTCTGGCATGGAGCTGCTTTATTCTATGCTAAGTGTGACATCAATTAAAGAAAAACACACCGCATGGGATGCTGAGTATAGGATTTTTCTTTCATTAATACCAGGATCTGGTATGTAGTGGGTGCTTAAAAACTGACACTGACAACTATTAACCTAAAATCAACTACGTTCAGAATCCTTGCAATGATAGCTTGCTGTTGAATCCTGCGTTTTCGGCAGTCACATGTATGTAACTGTTCTTCACTAGAACTGACACACCATCTGTGGTCTAATAATCCTCAATATTTAGCTCAGTGCGCGTACACAAACATGTTGGTTTTCCATGGGTTTTATGGGGGCATCCTATAGACGTAATGGTTTTTATACTGTAAAAACTGTATTTTCTATCCCCTTACCCAAACAGAAAACTTACTGCTATATTAGATTTGCAAAATAAATAAATAATAAATAAAAATAATTTTGTATCATTTGTAAGCGGTTTTCCCCATTGGGACCAAAAAAATGTTCCCACAAGGTCAAAAATTACTGGTATTACTATACTTGTTGGAACATTTGGTCCCCATAGGGAATACCAGGTTCACACACACAGGGGACGTGTGTGTGTTGGTACACAATACTAGTTACACCAAAAGCACATATAGGCATTTCATCTAGGAAAAAAAACCTACAGCTTTCAATTAAGGATGTGCCGATCTGATACTTAGTATCAGAATTTATCATGAGCTGCATGGGGAACTGAAGGTGGAGGATCCAAATGCAGAATTTATTGAAGGGGTAATTCAAAATCGAAGTCAAAAACAGGCAAGAGGTTAAACACAATAAACAATTCAAACAATGACAGAGTTCATGGCTGAGGCAAACGGAGAAATCCAGAATAACAGGCAAAGAATCAAAAACCAAGACACAAGAGAACCAGGATACAAGGCTTAAAAATGCAGTAATGACACATGCTAGACTTGGCAATGAATGACTTAATCAATTAGGCTTATAAAGTAAACAGGGTTAAAATAGACAAAACAGGGTTAATGAGACACAGGCTAAAACAATGAGCGCTGATGAGTCTGTGCAAAGGATAATGGGGAATGAAGTTCTTGACAGAGTGACAATAGTTTGGGGTGGAGTGCCCTCTAGTGGACAACCAGGGCATTTCAGCTGGTGTTCGTGAGAGGTATCCAGTGCATTCACATTAACTATTTTATTATTATAATTATTACTACCTACTGAACTCAAAAATAAGAATTAATATTAATACATTTGCCAGATAATATGTGGTTACTTCAACAAAATTTGTAAATCTTAGATCAAGTTGGAAAAAAAAATTGTTACAAACTTTCAGTGTACAACTGTGCACCTTGTGAAACCAACAGTTATGGCTATAATCTGTTCTAAGATCTGAACATGTATGCAGCAAAATAGAACAAATTTAGTCAGGGCCGTTTCTAGCCATTTTGGCTAGGTGAAATCCCTATTAGCGCCCCCACCCCCATCCCACTCCCAAACAAGAAAATATAAGACTACATACAAAATAACATAAAACTGATTATGTAAACACTCAAATCTTAAATGACAACTTTGACACATTTCCAAATTATATTTGCATATACTGTAGGTTATTATAATTTATTTTCAGACATCAGTTTCTTGTCACATTCAAATTGGTTGTCATAGTAACGACAATTTGTGGAGATTCAGCGCATTGTGATTTACACAAATCTGAACGCATTATTTGCAAATTGACTGTTAGGATAAACATTTTGCACAATTTATTATCTGTAATACCATTATAGCCACTGGATGCCTGTTTATCTCTATGTAACAATCCCTAGTTTCTAAGAAATTGTCATCACACAAATTAATTTGATAATATCTAAACATGTATCCAAATCTAAATGGAATAAGTGACTACTTTTTGTCTTTATCTGTTTTTTGTTCAATTGTTTTGTCAGTTATTGCATTATTTCAGTCAAATATAAAACCCTTTGTTACCTCAAACTACATATAAAAGCCTGATCAGTGGCATAAAAGTAATCAGAACGCAGCTACTTGCTCCTTTGTTACTCATTGATGCGTGAACTTCCCGCACTCTGCCCTCTAGGTGTATAACGCTGGTCCCATCAAGTGCTGTTGGAAGTGAATTAATTGATTCCACTTCCGTAAGGATGCGTTAAATTC